CACAGGCAATTCACACATGCTGTAGTGCTTACACCCAACTAATCAATTAAAACTTAATTTTGTCATGTACATGTGAGAGCAAGCAGTTGTTAAGTCAGCTCATGTTCTCTGCTCTCATTAAACACCTTTTCTCATCGAACTTTTCCCACACGAAGGTGGTACGTTGGCTCCCAGGTAAATCAAGGTACCAATATAATCCACTTCTCCCATAAAAGCAAATTTTTATTTCAAACAAAACAGTTCAGGTCCAAAACTGATGTCAGTTTAAAGATGGAATGTATTAACATTAACTTATTTTCTTCTGAGGGTAGGATGATTGTAAAAATGGTTTTGTTTAAAATTCTGACAGGAATAATGGCCAAGTTGAAATTTCTGACTGCTAAAGAGATCTAAAAACTATATACAGCCAGAAGGAATTTATTTTCTGAAGAAAATTATCTAGAATTCTGGCAATGCCCGATAGCCAACATTTAATGAATCACAACTGAGCTGAAACCACTTAATAGGTGTATTTTTCAGCACAAAAGCACTTTCACATTTTATTTGTGCTGAAGGTGCATCCATATGTTTCCTATACAATGTCATGTAGAGATACCAATGTTAAACTTGAAAAAACCAGGCATAAATTGTGGGCACATGTGAGTGAACTCTGACTGTGCTTTAGAGGGGAAACAAGAAAGAAAAGAAAAACCAAAACGCAACAACAGAGAGAACTGCATGGGACACATGAGCGAGCTGGAAAAGCCCTCTGACTCAATCACACAGCCTCTTTATTTCTTTTTTTTTTTTTTAGCTAAGGGCATCCAGCGCTAGCTCACATCAGGCAAAGCAGTTGTTTCGGTCATGAAATCCTTTCCACTGCTCCCTTCCTGTCTAAATCATCAACATGTTGGAGCTACTTGGAGCTGAACAGATGTCTGAGGAGCATTTGACTGCATTTCTTCAGGTATGGTAGAAATTAGACGGATGTATTTCAGCAACTATTCATCTATATTAATAGGTAATAGCTATGCACATTTAGTAAAAGTCATTTCCTTTGAAGGAAGGTGGGATTAATATTAAATGTCTATAAGGTTTATTCTTATTTTGTAATATGACTTCCCCCTCTAATTCTGCCACAATTTCATATTCTTCAGGGAAGTGTTACAAAGTTAACAGACTTCTCTCCACTGAAGTAAAGCCTGCTTTCCTCTTCCTCAACTTTTGGTTTAGATTAAGACTTTTCTGGCTATCACATAAACAAAATAGCAAAATATACACTGGGACTTCATTTGTGTGTGTTTAAACTTGGTTTTCAAATTGAATATAAAGTGATAATTACTAGGTTTTAGGAAGTGGTTCTCATTTTCAATGTACTACACCAAGAGAAACTGTTCAGTTTTCAAGAGCCCTACAAGACAGAAAGGTAAGCAAAGCTTCACTACCCAGATTCTTGTTTCGTAGCTGGGCCACAGAGATTCAAACCAATACTTTCACACACAATTCCCAATGCCTGGGTGCTTCTGAAAAAATAACCTGGTTTTCAGTTCTCAGTTGGCAAACTTCCACACTGCTCATATACGGTTTTATGGCATGCCGGTTGTCCAGCACTCCTGAAAATGGACCTCTCCTTTTAAAGAGTACCATCATTATGAAAACATCTCCCAGATTTTCTCACAGTCATGTAGTGAATGGGATGAGGCTGCACCAGGCTGGAAGAGGACTTGATGCTCTACCTGCTCCCCAGTGTGCTAGGCCTGCCTACCTCAAGTATTTCTCAGTAAAAATCATTTTGTCTAAGCTGACTGACTGTGGTCCTGCTTCTGCACAGAACTACTTCCACGTGTGACTTCGTGCGTATAAATAACCTAACCAGCTCCAAGGATACTGGGTGCACGACAGCTTAAACACATGCATACCTTTTTGCAGTACGAGGTATTAGCAAAAATGAAGGAACTGTTGAATGGAATCCTTCTTATTTACATCCAGTTGCATCTTGATATCAGAATATTAACTCCTTTAAACAATTTCTCCATACAAAACTGAAAAAGCAAGTGCTTTTAAATAGCATCCTTTGGTTTTTTAAGCAGATCATAGCAAACTATTTAAAAGTACCCCTAAACTGGTCAGAGCATGCAGAGGTGCCAGTAGGAAGGAGGGGGTTGTTTGCTGAGCATTCATCCTGCACTAACAGCTGCATGTGCAGCACTGTAATGTTGTCACCATCATTTTTTTAAAGCAACAGAAGCAAAGGTTAATTGCTTGCATTAACTGCACAGTTCAAAGTCACGTCATACAAAAGATTTACCCGAACAGCTGCTTGAACTTTATGACAGTCTGAAATTTCATACCATTTGTTGGAATTACCTTTTAATTAGCCCTTTGGGTGTATACATAGTGTTTATTGATTAATCCTTCAGTAGCTGTTTTTTAAATAACAGGGTAATTCTCTATGTTGGGTAGCCCAGTCACGCTCTGCCATTCCCCCACCCTCCTTTTGCAATGTTGTGTGGGGACAGCAGCACGCAGCCAAATCCAGGAGAGGAGAGGAAGAGCTTCAAGCTGCTGCCTATTTAGCTAGCACCACAAGCAGAAGAAGCATTGCTTCTATAGCACAAAACACTGAGCCTGAATTACTTTTTCCTGCCAAGCATCAGGCTTTTTAGCTTTGGTGCTGTGCTTTTCCTAATATGGCTGTGACTGGGGCTTGGGCTAGCATCACCAAGAGCAGCCTTTAACTGCCTGTCCCTACTTCCCACCTCTCTGCTGGCATGAGTAACCAGAAGAATGCTGTACTGTGGTTGGTGCCATCAGCCCCTGAGGATGCTGGCAAGAGCGGAGGATAGCTAGATTTTGTTACTTCTTTCAGTTTCGGCAGTGCCAGCAGGGAAAAAAGCACGAGGACTTGTCATGTTGGGCACTGGAAAAACAGTCTCTTCCTGAATGGAGTGGATGAAGCAGGAAGAGCAAGGTGACCACGGAAGGAGAGGACATTGGCAGGACAGGGCAGGGGAGATGCAGTGGCAGTTTGGGCTGTAAAGCCTGACTGCTGCAAAAGCAGCAATAGTGAGGGCTGCTGAGGAAGGGGCACACACAAAAGGCGTCATCAAATATCCCCCTCCCCTACATGTGCAGCCATTCTGTGCCCCGGTGGAACTGTAAAGAGCTACGAGAAAACACAGAATTGGGTCTACAGGGTTTCCTTGCACTCTTCCACCAGGGCAATGGCTTTTGGCTCCTGTAAGCTGCCTGGCCCTCCCAGCTACTGCTGAACTGAGAAGTATGTGCTTCTGGAGGATCCCTGCACTTCAGCTTGCTGAAACGGTTTTCGTTTTTATTGACTGCCAGCACTGTTTTGGGGGACAATTTTCAGGGATGCAGTCAACCTCTCTGTTTATTCCTTCCCCACCCCTTATGATTTCTGCTTAACTCCTCGAGGTCCACCAGACTGCACAGTTTTCTTGTGGTGAGCTCCCTGCCTTGCCTAGACTCTGTGGGAAACAAGAAGCCTTAAATAATTAGCACATATCTGTATGGAAAATACATGTCCTTATCCAGCTTTTGAAGCAGAAAGCAAAAAAGAATAAGTTGACAGTTATCCCAGCTCCCATAGTAATGTTCAACCAAATGCATTATTCTCTCCTCTCTGCCTCCCACCCACGCATAGTTCAGTATTTTGGAAAAAGGAGGAGATTATAGATGCTGCATTTGGTGATGGGCTGGTAGCTGGATATTCAGAACAGCTCTTGCAGAGTTAGATACCTTTGCGTTGCAGTTGTCGTCTAGTCAGCAGGCAGATGCTCATTGCTGTACCAGCACTGAAATTCAGATGCATTGCAAGTTTCAACCACAGAAGCCTTATCTAATAACACTGTTCATTGGTTTACTGTAGGGAATAATTTTAAAACTATATCTGACCAAACTGCTGAGGAAGCCAAGGCTGTGGCTTTATGTTCTGGCAGAGATAAATTAACAGTTTTCACCTACCAAAAAAAGGTTTTTTTCCCTTCCCTTCCACTGCTCTCCCATCGCATGGGAAAGTAATTCAACTCTGTAACCCACAAAATCTTTATTTGCGGATTGATTTTCCACTATTACCATAAGCAACAGCAAGTTAACAGGCAACCAGATGACCGCCAGGACTGACCCATGGCAAGCAGCAGGAGTGCATGTCTGGGAGTGAGGAATAGGCAAGATTGAAATCTTCCTTTTTTCCCCTGTAAATTTGTCTCACACCATAAGCTGAATCTATTCACTGAGATTCAAATACACGGTGCCACACAGCAAGTCAACAGCCACTTCTTCAACCACTGTGCAACTCTGCCTTTCTTTCTATGAGAAATTTAATCTTGAAAGTGTTGAATGAAACTTTCCACTCATTAGCCAGTTGATCCTTGTAGCCCTACTGCAAATAGGCGGTCAGCAGGGCTCTGCTGCTTCGGAGATGGGAAGGCTGAACCAGGGCAGCCAAGATTAGACTTTTACTTCGCGACTGCAAAGAGATAACTCAGAATTTCTAGCTCTCCATTAGCTTTCTGCATATCCTGCCCTTATGCCTACCTCCACTAGCCAAATCTTCCTAAAGAATAGCAAGTACTTGTTTAGTCCTATTTCAAAGAAAATATCAGGTCCTGTTATGGGGGAGATAAACCAAGGCACAACATCACTCAGGTTTCAAGGTTTAAATACCAGTTTTTGCTCTGAAGAAAATCCTGGGAAGACTCCTCTTTCGAGTGGTATGCATGGGGCATCACCTGAATTCTGATCCCTGGAAGCCCACAATACTTAGACAGAAAAGCAGGCCAAGAGCAATTCAGGGATCACACTCATATAGGCTGTCTACAACGACATGGAAAATGCCTGTTGTCTGTGATCAGCTCAGATGCCTTAATTGCTGCCTTATCTCTGCTGCACTGAGAGGTGGATGCTTCTTCATAAAATAACCGCTTTTGTGCAAGGCAAGCCAGTACCAGGTAAGAAAGCAAAGCAGACTTCTCAAGTAACTTAGGCTTTTTTCTTACTTTATACCAAGATGCTGTCTGGTAGGTGATTGAGGAGTCCCGAAGAACTTTACAGGGCAGCAGCACTTCTTCAGCACATCTCACAGTAACATCTGGGACCGCCACAGAAGCCCCACTGATCAAGCACCAAACTGCAAAGCACAGGTACACATCACCTTTAGAAGAGATTGCCCAGGCAATCCTCCCTGTCTGCCCAAAACATATCCCCACAAAATAAATGTGAAAGACCAGAAATAAAAAGGCAAGGGTCCCCACTTACCATTGCACAGGCTGATGAGCAGAGCATAGACTGCTGGAGACATGGCTTTTGCTGCTTCAAATCACGGAGCAGCAGCAGCGTGCCTCTTCACAGGGTGGACTGCAAGAGCAGAGTGAAACTGCTACTGCTTCTGGAGTGATATTTCTGGAGGCAGACTGGGGAATCCCCCAGACGGCTTATCTTGAAGTTCCCCGTCACAGGGAAAATCCCTCTGTGTAGGAGCCAGTGCCTCCTCCCACTATATGTTAGGTCACTCCCATTTCTACAACTGCCTGACTGGTAGCACATCACCTCCATTTTTTTCTTCTCCCCACCCCATGTTTATCTGAACGGAAATAGGGTTGATTGTGGGTCGCTGTGGTTCGGCGTGAAGGGCATCAAAATCAGCACTGAAAGAGTCTCTCTTGAGTGACAAGATGTAGGGGAAAGGGTTTATCAGCCTCCCCAAATCCCCTCTCAACCTTTTCTCTGCAGCTCTAATAGAACAGTGTCTGTGCAAAGGTTGGCATATGAAGTGACATTTCTGAAACAGCATTTAAGCCCTCAGGTCGTAGCACCATCAGGACACAGACTTGGGTCTAAGGGCTAAGCAGGAATTTACAGCATGGCTGAGCAATACAAACTATCTTTCTGTAGTGTTACATTTGTAACTCCCTGTGTCGGCACTCCTGATGTAGAAGCAGCATCTCTTCATAGTGTATTTGGTCATTTTCAAGACAAGCAGGGGCAGCTGGAACAACATAATTCTACCAAATTATCTGCTGGGAAATTTCCTCACAAAAAAAAGTATCAAGGTAGCTCCCAGAAGAGGAATCATTTGGACATCCCCTCTAGATATCTGAAAAAGAAAAACAAAGGGAAAATAAGGTCCTTTCCTCGTGATCTGTACGAGCTGTTTCTTCCTGGAGAATTTTTGAGGAAGTCTGAAGCTGATCACGGGAGCATTTACAAATCATGAAACTCAGAAAGTTGCTGACATGTTATTTTTGGAAAACGGTTCTGGCTGCTGTTTTTAGGCTACTGAGATCATGATGGAGAGGAGCCATTTAGGAGGGGTTTTTCTGAGTTTTGATGGTTGAAGAGTGTATGGTCAGCCCATTTCAAAAATGAGGTTCCTGGAAACCACATCAGGCTGGGCCCTCTAAAGCCAGAACACCTCTAGAAAGTTTTGTGAGAAGTCAGTTTGACAAGTCCTCAGCATGCAAAAGTCCAGCTGAGATGGGTAAATGCTGTGGGTGGGTAGCACTTTCGAAAACTCCAGTCTGTTCTGTGAGGGAAGTCAGACAGCAATTTCACCAGGAGCCTTGCTGTTGAAATAGACTACTTATTTTTACAGCTTTTTGCTTCTATCTTCATTGACCAACATAGTAAAATAGTAAAAATAACAGGCTCTAAGGGTTATTTTTCTCTTAGTGTTTTCTGGTTTCAAGGCCCCCGGTGACATTGCTGACTTCTCTCACAGCACAGATTGGAGTTTCCAAAAGTGCTTCTTACCCATCTGAGCTGGACTTCTAAGATAGGTACAAGCATAATGTAAATACCAGTGGAACTCTCTAGAGGGAAAGTCCTCAGCTCTCACTTCTTTCTCCTGTGTGAAATAATAGTCCTTTAGCAGACAGAAGTGAGGGGGGGGTGCTGAAGGAAATCTTGGAGACAAGAGGGCTCTAGTTAATATATTTCACATCTGTTCTTCACTAAAATGATGGCTCTCTTGCCCCATGAGTCAGTCACACATCAAGCCCACCTCCAAGCAGGGCACTCAGCTTTCACCCAAGTGCCTCTTTCTGTGAGTCCTGCAGAGCTACATGTTTACCCTTCATAAACCAGTCCAGAAGAAGAAACCTTCTTTACCTCCCTTTTCATTGCGGGGAAACCCCTGGTAAGCAAACCACAGTAAGGTCCTTCCCCTGCTATGGGTCAGCCCACAGCAATCTTTGCCAAAACAGCCTGACCAGATGTAGTCTGGAGGGGCTGTGACATGCCTAGGGCTGGGGTCACGAGTCTGCCCACACAGAAGTGCACCGCAGGTAAGCATAAAGGGTCAGGCTTTGGTCTGATCTGGGAAACGTACATGCCACACATGCTTGCCAAGGTGATGTTAAACAATGTTCTTCCTTGATTAGTCAAAATACAGGAGTTGGGACTCTTAAAAACACACAGTTATTCCCACTAGGACAGGCATATCTTCAAGCAAAACAGCCCTTTTCCTCCAGAAGCATTTGCAAGCTCAGCTGCTGTTCCACAGTGGAGCACATGAAGCAAGAGAGCAAGACATAAAAAACAAAAACTGAAACTCCCTTTGCTGGGGGAGAAGAAAGAATTTTGCTTCTAAATTTTCCCTGGTTGGGATTTTTTCTTTAGGGAAACTCTGAATCTGGCTGTACTTTCCATCCTAACTTTTAATACCCTTTATATGGTTTCAAAGAGCAAGCCTAGTATCTCCAGAACCCTGGAACGTGCTTTGAGTTTCACTCCAGTCCTGAGCTGTGGAAGCAACGGGAGTTCAGTGGGACAGGCTCGGGGGGGGGAGGGAGGAGGCAATGATGGCCTGCCAGCCATCTCCGTGAGAAACAGATCCACATCTTTGCAAGGCCCTCAGGAACCACAGGAGGTGCAGGTATGTGAGTAAGTGGAAGTTTATCGTTAAACACATTGTCCTGTGGACCTAATGAGACCTGCTCTCCTACAGGTGTGTCCTATTGCCTCTTCCTCTCCTTCCCTCGCCCGTACCACTCGCTACACCGACTGTCAGCCCTCGATCTCACCAAGCGAGAAGCACCATCTGCTCTGGTGAGTCCAGAGCAGCACACGTGATGACTGACATTAGCAAGCAGCGTGTAAAACGGCTGTGTTCTGCCTACCTTTCTCTTAGCAAGGGCACTCGTTTGGATCTCCATCTTTGACACAGCTGCTGATTTTCATGAATTTCATAGGCACTTAATTCTCTTTGAGCCCCGATCCCTCTGTCAGTTTGATAGAAAGCAGGTTCAGAACATACTGGCTGATAGACAGCCAGATGGCATGATCAGAGAAATTTCATTCTCTGTGAGAAATGAGGCTAGAAGCACAAGGATGTGGGATGGATTCACGGGATAAGGTTAAAAAGTCGAGACAGTATTTTTTTCAGTGTTGATAGATCCTTGAGAACGCTGTTTGTGGAATCATATCCTGTTTCCTTGAACCAGGTAGGTATTGGCTCCCTCATACTCAGGTAGTGGGTTTTTCTTATTGTTTATTCCAATGTGTGTCTGCAAAAGGTATGTAAGATTCCCTCTTTTTTCATGTATTTGCCCCTGAGTGCCAGCATTCATCAGGAAGCATGGAGTTTAGAAAAAACAAAACCTTAGCTCTCTGCAAGGAGTACCGAGCTCTCCACAATGAAGAATCAAAGGTTAAGACATGTCAAAACAGCATTCGGCATTTCTGGCAAGGCACAGATTTTTCTGTATTGGGATATGACTATCAAATATCCATCGCTTCGCTGCATTTAGGTTTCTGCTTTGAATAAGGTCCATCCATGAGCCTCATGTCTACTGTGAAGCCACTGGGGGGGAGTGGGGGTGTGTATTTATTTTTATTATTATTCATCTCCTGTGCAGCAATAAAAACTGCCTGCTGCAGTTCAACTGACAAAACCAGGAAGGCTTTTGTTTTATGTTTTAGTAGACAACCGTTTTTTTAAATAATACACTGTGTGCAATGTGGAACTGTCAGCCAAAGGAATAGTGACAGAAGAATCCACAGCCACAAATGCAGAGTAGTCATGTATTTTGAGGGGCCCAGCAGAGCTGCAGTCACAGCGTTTACCTTCCTGTCATGCTAACCACACGAACAACTAAAAGCAACTGAAAGTTTCCAGATTGCAGCTAATGAGAGGTACATAGATGATTCACAAACTGGAGTGAGGAAAGTTTAAGGACAAAGTTCTTTTATCTGCCCCTTCATGGCAGATGTTGGGTCAGGGTCTGCCTTTGCTGTTTAAACAGTGGCGATCCGGCAAACCAAAACACTGGAACTGTGACCTGCTGGGCGGCACAGAGCTTTGTGCTACAGACTGTCTCCCACTGCCAGCTCAATAAATAACACCCAATTAATTATACACAAATGGCCACTCCTCTGAAATACCTGGACTTTGGAGTGAGCCGTTTGAGATGTGTCAGCCCTGTTGGTCAAAGCAGTGATTAGGCGTACTCACATGGAAACTGAAATGTGACCCAAATTACGGACCCAAAAAGGAGGTATCCAAAATCAGAAGCCTGTTTAGAAACTGTTGACCTGGGAGTTTAGGAATTGCCTTTAACCAAACAGGAGCAAAAACTGATCCCAGATCTACACATGCGACTGTAAGAACTGGAATAAGGCTGCAATGAAGCTCCATCTAGTCCAGCATTTTGTCTCCAACAGCAGACAGTGAGCTATTGAGTAACCAAGCAGGCCAAGGTGCTGCATTCAAACTGCAGTGTCTGCTGGAGGTGCACATTGAAATGTCATTGTAGATGATCCCTTTTTTTATCATCAGCATACTAGATGGTGCTGCCATTGCCAGAATGAGGGACATCTTGGACCACAGTCTGCGGATTCCAGTGGACTCTCCATTGCTCAGCCTCTGTGTGAGGTCATCCATGCTGCCTTCTCCAGAAGGTAAGGAACAGATTATTAGCTGCTGTCTCTACTGAATTCTGTAACAGTAGTCCCCATGTAGTCGCAGCCTTGCAGAGCTCCTTCTTGGACCTTGCATCTCCTTATGACACTCAGTCAGGCACAGTTTTTGTAGAGGTCTAACGTTCAGTTGGTCTGCCCCCAAATCATGCTGTGGAAATACTTACTCCTCCTGGTGCTCCTCTCTCTTTTCTCTTCCCTGTACATCCTGCCCAGACATATGTGTTATGGGAACTCTTACACTGGAAGAGAATGAAGGACCCCAGTATGTTACCTTGTACTCCTAGCTGATCCTATGGCCCACCAGGAACATAAGTCAGGAAATCCTCCTGGGAGTAGCCTGTGCTAACAGCAGATCTCACAGGGTGCTCTGACCATTGTGCA